TTAATGGCCAATTAGTCGTTCGACGCGATTCTCCGTCGTCTGTATCGTCCCTCCGACGGAGGGTCGTGATATGTCTCGACTTCCGCCGACTTGGTTCTCGGCACATTTGGTTTATGCTCGCTCATTTATTTATCACTCGAGAAATAAATTTGCAATTAGTCTACGTGGTTTTCCTGAATGTGTTGCAGATCGATTAATCGTAGTTTTCCGACAATGAGAATGAGAGAGAGAGTGAGAGAGAGAGAGAGAGAGAGAGAGAGAGAGAGAGAGAGAGAGAGAAAGAGAGAGAGAGGAGAAGGATGGAAGAGGGAGAGAGGGAGAGAGGGAGCGAGAAGGATGAAGGGAAGGAGAAAGGAAGGAGCGGGAGAGAGAGAGAAGGAGGATGGGGGAGAGGGAGAGGGGGCGAGAGAAAGGGGAGAGGGAACGAGAGAGAGAGGGGAGAGCGGCAGGAGGGAGGAGGGAAGGAAAGAGGGGGTGAAAAAGAGAGAGAGAGAGAGTTTGTTAAGGACGCATTTATGTTAGAAGAATGTCTCTTTATGTAGGTCGTAGAAATAACGATATATTATTATCATATTGAATAGGAGAGAGCTGTCTATAATTATGAGTATAAACCTTTAACAGTGTATTCATTGAATAAGGAGGCGTCAAACCGTCGTACCATGATTAGCTTTCATATAAGCGTGTTCCTTATAAAGATATTGATGATGATTCGGTCTTTCGTCCAACTTTTTTGCTCATTCTGCATTCAATCAGTTTCAGCATCTGTAACGTTTTCCGAGATAGTTCTCGCGGTTAATTAAGCGTACTTATCTAGAATTTCGCTAACACGACGGCTCGCGCCTCGATTACTGATTCAATACAGATTATGTCATCATAACTTTCACCCTCGACAGAAATCAGACGTGAAGGAACGGCGATATTGGACGAGCGGAAAAGCAGCCGTGAACTAATATTCGTTAATCCGTCGAATCGACGTTTTATCGACGTGACGTTTAACATTGATATTTTCGGTTTTTGTTTCGTCGAGCAAATTGTTGCATGAGGATCGACAGTGAAGATAACGAAATTATTACTCGAAATGACCAGTGAAAGCGGCAGAAAGAGGGGAAGGTAGTAAAACAAAGGAGTACACGGGGGAAGAGGGGGGAGGGGGAAGAGTTTATATCAGCGAGAATAAACCGCGACAGGGCGAAAGCTCGATGAGGGGAAATGGAACGGCTCGCGTAATGTAACACAAATACAGAGAACGAATATCCATCTATACATACGTTCGCGCTTACGCGAATGTAACCGGTTTCCCAGGTTCATTACACTGTCCGGAGAGGAGATGCTGCGCATCTCCTTTCCCGACAAGTGTGCACCGTATGCGACTACACTGACGACGGTAGTCCTCGCGAAGTTACTTATGGTCGCGCCGGACTTCATCCCTTTCTCGTAAAACGCCCGTCCATTCGTCTGCACGCTCTTGTCTGCTCCTGAGGCCCAAAGAGACCGATCGGGAAATACACCACAGTCGTTGCACTGCTCGTGGAAATAAGTCATCGAACCGTTGGTCCACGATCGCAAGACCGCGACGATATCCCGCCAGAGCCGTTTGCCATGTTGGGAACGTAGGTTTAACATCTGTCTAAGACGGCAATCAATTTTTTCTCCGTGCATCGACCTCGTGCGCCCGTACCGTCGGAGACGAGAGACGGAGGTGCTCGGGCGATCGAGTTTCGCGTCGTCGTGGTGTTTTTCCTCCCCGAAAGTTTCCCGGATCTACTCCCCCCTGTAAATTGAGGATCTTTCTTGGCTCGCGATGTAAGCTCGGTCTTTGTCATTGTCGAGAGTTCAAAACAATGTCTCGGTCTTATCGGAAATTCCATCAAAGAACTTATCGAAGACCTTCGGATATAATCTACCCGGAAGATACCTCTCTCGAAGGTGATCCTCCTCCTAGCTCTCGCTAAGTTGAAGTTGCTCGAGCGAGCGATGGAGCGCTCTTCCTGGTGATTCGACGTTCCGGTTCCTAGGCTCGTTCACGACTCGCGCACTTTCTGCTCTACCTTCCCTGCCCGCGCATTGCTAATTTACCTTTTGCCGCCCTTGACATCCCTCCAGGGACCCCGATATCCGTCACATCTCTCGTTCGGTGCGCTCACTTGAGACCGGGTAGATAAAGTGCCAGTACGAATTCCTAGTAGTGGGCTGTGCACTGAAAAAGAAAGGAAGAGGGAAAAAAGAAAGCTTATTCGCTCGTATATATGTACGTACATATATATATACATACATACATACATACATACACATATATATATATACATATATACGTACATACGTACATACGTACATACGTCCGTACATACATACGTGCATACGTACATACATACGTACATACATACGTACATACGTACATACATACATACATACGTACATATATACATATATACATACATAGATATATGCATACATACAATCGTGGACAAAATTAAGTGGACAAGTATCATAAATAACAGAAGGTTAATTTAATTTAACTAATAATGTCAAAAATCAAATCTTTATTGCTTATTTAAATTAACGAAGTATAATTTAACAAAATATAAAGAAATCCCAATTGTAACAAATAATATATTAGAATTTTTATTGATTAATGATAATAACATAAAACTGCACATGGTCAAAATTAAGTGGACACTTTATACAAAGTATGAATACTTTGTATTATAGCCTTTTGCTTTTATTACTGCTTGTAAACGTCTCGTGGCATACTTTCAACAAATTTTTCCAGATAATGTTTATCAATTCTTTGAAATTTTAGTTCCAATTCATTTAAAAACTCTTTTTTATTATTGCGTTTTTCTAATGGAATCTCTGCATCCAGTAAACTCCATAAATTTTCGATTGGGTTAAAGTCCGGACTTTGTGGAGCCCATTCAAGAACTTCTATTTTACAATTCTGGAAAAATTGTTTCGTTTTCTTTGCTGTGTGCTTTGGATCATTGTCTTGCTGAAACATCCATTCCCTGTCGAGATCCATTTTAAGAATTGATTCTTCTAAGTTTTCATTTAAAGTGTCAATATATTTATCAGCATTCATGATTCCATCTATAGCTACTAAATTTCCAATCCTATATCACGAAAAACAAACCCGTATCATTATTGCATCTCCTCCATACTTGACTGTTGGTACAACATATTGCTTCTTTAGAGCTTCATTCGGTTTCCTCCACACGTATGTCCTCTTTTTATTCAATAATTCAAATTTACTTTCATCGCTCCATATTATTCGTTTTCAAAATGATAATGGCTTATTTATATATTTTTTTGCAAAAGCTAAACGTTTTTTTTATGCACTTTATTAATATATGATTTACATCTATCTACACAACTCTTTAAACCCACCTCTTTTAATCTTCGTCTCACAGTTCTTGAAGATATGTTTAATTGTAATTGTTCAATAATGTTTCGTGACGTTGTCAATGCGTTACGTTGAGCTTCTCTCACAATTCTTCTGTTATCGTATACACTTGTGTTACATCTCCGTCTCCGACCATGTACATTTTCGACAGTATTATGTTGTAAATATTTTGTATAAATTTTATGAACTGCGCTTTTCGAAACTTTATATTTTTCGGCTATTTTACGATAACTTAGCTTATTTTTGCAGTCTGAAATAATTAGATTTCGCAGATGAACGGAAAACTCTTTTCTTTGCTTAGACATGTCTGTTTATTAACTTTGATTGTACTGATACAAGGATCAACGTACATTGAGGACGCAATAACATCACATATTAGGTAAAGCTCAACGTTTGTTTATATTGTTCCATTTTGAATATAAAATTTTCTCTTTGTCCACTTAATTTTGTCCAAAGTCTAAATGCTAACCACATGAATAAATATATGTAAACAGTTACAGAAACATTGTTTTTACAATTATATATACTAAATTAATGTTCTTTTGTGTCAACAAGAATATTTTACGTTCAAAATTTAAAATTTATTTACAACATTGGTATGAAACAGAGGATTTGCCAAAATTTATGCAGTGTCCACTTAATTTTGTCCACGACTGTATGTACACATATACATACATAGATATATACATACATATGTATATACATACGTACATAGATATATGCATATACATGTACATACATATATACATATATGTGTATATACATACATACATATATATATATATATATATGTACATATATATATATATATATGTACATATTCGTTCATCGTTCGGCTATCTCGACATCGGTCAATGAACCGCGTGTTGCTGGCGAACCCAGTTGGTCCACTCGCGGCGCGCGAATCCCACCACATCGTCTCGCGATTTAACCCCCCACTGCAGTCGGAGACCACGTCAGGTCGGTCCACGTTTTATCCCTACCGGACGATCCTCCGCGACGTGGCTCACCTCCGGCTTCCCCCGATCTTGTCGCCCTCTTCCTCATCCCGCCGTTGCTACAACCCCTTCTCTCATCTCCAGAACTCACCTCCGACCCGCTCGCTTAATTCTTCCCGTCCCTCCTCTCTGCTGTCATCTCTTCCATCCTCCTTGCGTTTCCCTTCGTTCTCCGTCTCTCCCATCGCCACCTCCAAGCACCTCGCGTTCTCTTCCTCTCCCCCCCCCTCTCTCTCTCTCTCTCTCTCTCTCTCTCTCTTTTGCTCTGCCTCTCCTCACCTTTCTCCATCCCTTCTCCATCGCGAATCGCGCAATGTCGTAACACGTACGACGGGACGCCGGTTTTACTTACCTCACAGGTGAGCGCTCTCGGGTAAGCGGCTGCAGCAGAGGACGGAAGAGCGGTCTTGAGGGAGAAAGGGAGGGAGGGAGGGAGGGAGAGAGGGTTAGAGAGAAAGATAATCGGACAGAGACGGGCAAAATAGCAATAGAGAAAAGGAAAGAGAGAGAGAGAGAGATAGAGGGAGAGGGAAGGGGGGAGAGAGAGAGAGAGAGAGGGAGAAAGAGAGAAAGAGAGAGAGAGAGAGAGAGAGAGGGGTGGGAGCAGAGAAGGGAGATCAAACGGGTAAGAGAGAAGTGCCGATCGAGGAAGATGGAGCACGGGAAACATGCGGCGAGGCGGCCCATTCCCGGCACTCGCGCGAGAACGAGCGGGTCGGCACGCCGTACACTTGCGGATCGCGCGCACGCACGTGATCGCATGTGTTCTCGCGAGAAATTATTCCGTCCTCCGAGTGCTTTTCGTGTACTCGGCAAAATTTCTCCTAAAGTCTCGGCACGACAGACTGTGTCGTGTGTGTTTTATCTTTGTTATCTTGTTCTTCTCTCTCTCTCTCTCTCTCTCTCTCTCTCTTCATCCCTTTTTTTTCTTTACATATAAAGGATAGTGCCTTTTCCGTTTTCGCTTCGTCGCGTCGCCACATGGACCGTCCCCCCTCAGTCGCCTGGGGCGATGATCTCGTCGGAATAAGTGAGTGATTTTCGGTGTTCCCCGACGAGGTAGTATTATTATTGTTACGTATCGCCGAGATGTACCGAATATACACACTCTGGTCGGCAACGATCCACGATTTCTCACGACTGTGACCCTGTGTTCCGATCGCTTCCGACCGATCGATCAGTGATCGCGTAGCCGAGAGAGGTATCTTTGCAAAGCGGAGTGTCGCAGGTATTGCCGCGAGGCCGCGGACAGATTTCGCTGTGGGTGCTGATGAGAACTCCCTGGGAGTCGGTCGATGTGGTCCGTCGCGTTGGTGGATTACATCTCATCGGAATCGCATTATTTGTCGGTGGTGAATTTCATCAGCTGTCGGGGAAAGAATCCGGGCGCTGGCAAGTGTGCGTACAGGTAAATTGTAAAGCGTGACGCGCGGGCGTTGTCAACGCTGCACGGCTCTTCGTGTGTGAATCGCGCATGGTTCGCGAGCGGCGAGATAATTGTTGAGGAAGTTGCAAAAGTTCATTGCGCTTTCATTCGCACCTCATTGTCTCGCGGAGCGCGCGAGCGGGCTCGACCGCGACTGTTGTTTCGCGAGGTGTCGCTTGCGGCCGGTTGTGCGACTAATTATGAAATTATTATTATTACGCGTTCAATTTGCCAGACACGTACCCGATCGCCGATACACCAGGTCTTTTTTCGGCGTCGTCGAAGCGCCTACCAGTGTCATTCCTCAGTGTGAAAACTGTAAACGAATGAAACGTAGAATTTACATGGCAGCTGCAAAATAGAAACCAACTCGCGGGCGGTAATGGAACGCTTCGAGCGCCTTTGAATTCTTCATTCGATTTTTGCGAGAAGCGCATTCGTCGTGAGATTTCTCGCGGATCGATTCGACGATACTTGGGCGATCGTATGAGAACACGTGGCTCGGCTCGCGATCCTGGAGAAATCCTTCGCTGGCGCGCGGTGCGCGCGAGCGCGAGAGATCTTTGCGCGAGCGTGAGGTGAACGCACTGACTTGCGACGCGGGTGGAACGCGGAACCAAGCGGACGATGTACGAGACAAATGATCGTCTGCGAGACTGCGAAACTGCCGCGTCGCGTCGCGTCACGTCACGTCGCGTCGCGCGATGCGAAATTCGCGGCCGATCCAGCGGCGAATAAAAAATAGCTCCTCTTTCACGGCAGAAATCACGGCGTCCGATCGAGAATCGGCAGTGATTTGGCGATGACACCTCTGAAGCGCGAAAAGTATCGCTTATATAAGTTTAACATGCTCGAAATCGATGGATAATCGTGACAATAATAACAAGGATCGCAAACGGGATTTGGCTTAAGGGGCTTTCATAACCTGCGTAATCCAAGATCCATCGGTTAATCGATTGTTGTGATAGTGATCACTGCGTTTTCTGTATAGCGCGCATCTAGCCAGCGCGCGAATTGTCGCAAAATACTTGAAATACGCGAAATGGAAAGACATAATCCGCTGCGAGGGAGGGATGGATGTCGCGAGAGGAAAGAAAAGGGGGAGAGAGAGGGAGGGAGAGAGGAGTAGGAGGAGGAAGAGGAGAGGACTCGGAGCGAAACGCGCAGGTGAGAGAGCGAGTGAGCGAGAAAGAGAGAGGACAAAGAGAACGACGAGGAAGAGGGGTGGATGTTGATGGAAGGGCGGGGGTGAGGGGTGGGAAGGAGGAGGTTGTGACCAAGAGGAGGAAGGAGGGACGAGCCAGGAAGAAGTCAATGTCCGAAGATTACGGCAATGACATTCACTTTTTCTCACTCTCTGCCTCGTGTTTCTCTCGTGCTCTCCGGCTTCTCTCTCTCTCTCTCTCTCTCTCTCTCTCTCTTCCTTCCTTTCTTTCTCTCTCTTTTTTCCCTTCTCTTTCTCTTTCTCTCTCTCTCTCTCTCTCTTTCTCTCTCTCTCTCTCTCTCTCTCTCGTGCTGTCCTCTTGTTTCTCTCTTGCAATTCGCCGTCGCAATTCGGCTCCCTTCTTTCCGGTCGTGTGAAAATGTCAGGATACACGCAGGAGCGGTCAGGAAGTTTGCCTGTGACACCTCGCGATAACACCGTTATAGAGATATTCGGAACGATGCGTCGGGCGCGTAATCCATGCGAGACGGATCGAAAGGTCTGAATTCCGCGCAAAAGTATCAGCCGACGGACTCAGCCCGTAACGATCCCCGACGCTTTATTGTTCGTTTTTCCTCCGACTGTGTCGTCGTCGTTGTCGTCGTCGTCGTCGTCGTCGTCGTCGTCGTCGTCGTCGTCGTCGTCGTCGTCGTCGTTGTCGTCGTCGCCGTTGCAGTCGTCGTCGCCGTGTTATTCTTTTTACCCTTGGTTTCTGATTTTCTTTTCGTTTTGATTTGTCTTTCAGCGATGGGTCACGTGAAAAACCGGCAGGCGTATGAACCAGTGAAAATCGGCGGCCAGGTCCGCTCTCGGGCTGTCAGGAAAAAATTTGTCCCGTAAGAAGGAGAGAGGGCGAAGGCACGGGACGAAAGGTACGGATCTCTGAGAAAGAGGGCGAATACGCGAGAGAGTGTCGGAGAGCGACAAAGTCGCCGTCGAGGCAAGCTCGTTTTCGAGGCGATCGCGATCTCCAAAATAATGGGTTGAACTTTCGGACGGTGAATTTTCCACGACACTCGCAGGAAGAAGATGAAGCGATCGGCAGGACGGATCGGATGAGCGGCTTCGACGTTCTGCAGCACGACGAGGCTCGCGCCTTCTCAACGAATGATGCTAATCGAACTTGCTGAATTACGTCGCGCTGAAATCGCGTAACAACAGGCAGAAGAAACGACCGAACGTGGCTGGCGTTCTCACAGCTTGTGCTCGAGAATGAAGGTAGTTGAGCAGCCGAATGCTCGAATGGCTTGACGACGATATTGTGATAACGACGTACAGCACCTCTCGAGGCCTTGTTGGAAGCGCGCAACGGTGTTCTCGACGACTGTTCGATACAATAATTGTTTTACATTCGTTTCGTTCTGCGTTGAACGACATCGCACGCACGTCGTTCGTGCGATCGCGATCTGGTTCGATTCGCGAGCCGAGTGTGCATCATCGATCTTCACCGCTCGAGCCGTGCTGAGATCCTACTCTGTATTATTTATAACACGTGGTGAGAAACTTCATAGATGCGCACATTGTTCGCGCGTGTATGTGTAATGAATATCCGTGACTTGTAAGCGCGACTTACCCACGCCTTTGTCGCGCCTCCCGTTCTGCCATCTGCAACCATCGCGAACGAATTAAATTTTATTAAGCCACTGTATAAATGCAGATGCAAGTAGCGCACCAGGAAACGCCCGACGGGCGAGAGAGCCCGACATAGACGCGAAGAGGCGCGATACCCGCGGCTGACTGAAACAAGGAAACGCTGCTCGACGCGGTTCAAGGACCCCGTGAAGTCACGAGGAAAACGAGGAGTAACGACGACGGCGACTCGAACGAGCAGGAAGAAACGTTCGCAGTAATTGATCTGACATCGATCATGTACGGGTCGAAGACACCTTAGGACTCGAGCCAAGTACAAAATACAGATTGCCGTAAGGCGAAAAGAAGAAAAGAAGAACACAACAGTCCGAGAGAGAGAGAGAGAGAGGAGAGGGAGAGGGAGAGGGAGAGGGAGAGATACTCGATGACGAAGCGCCGGACAAGCGCCATCGGACAACAAGATCGTCGTTTCGCGAGACTCTTCGTATGCGACAGAACGGTCGTTTCGCTGATGACATTCAACGGCTCCGCTGATCGCCGTAAAATACGGTTTTGTCATCAGCGTCATCGACGTACGCGAGGTGACGACGACGGAGGAACGTTACCGTTACCGTGCTGGATCGCGTCTGCCGGTGTGGCCCGATAGTCACCGGAACGTACGAAGGATCTTATCCATTCGTCTGTGAGTAACATCGCGCAGACTGCACGTGTGTAACTCAGCGACGAAAACATACTTCAATACGAAAGAGAAAGGGGGAGAGAGAGAGAGAGAGAAAGAGAGAGAGAGAGAGAGAGAGAGAGAGAGAGAGAGAGAGAGAGAGAGAGAGAGTGAGAGAGAAAGAGACAGAGAGACAGACAGAGAGAAAGAGAGAGAGCTCGTGCAGGAACAACAACCGCCGATAAATGACATTGTCATTGAGAGCGCGACAGACGCGCAAGAATCCTGAGGATCTGTGGAAACTCTCTGGGTGACGACGTTCTCTCTGTTTATCTTGCCTCCCTTCTCTCTTTCTCTTTTTTCTCCCTGTCGCGCGCACGCGGAAGTTACGTGGCGCGTGAGAGAAAACGAGCGAGCATACACACACACACACACACACACACACACCCCCTCAGCTGACGTTGATGTCGCGCTGACTCGCAGGACAAGATATTCACGACTCATACGCAAAAGCGCAAAATCAAAGGCGATCTCCCTTACACGCGATCTCACGTGCGAATGCTGACCGCGGACGGGACCACCAGTGCGACGTGCCGCACGCTGTTCTCCGCTGGCACCGTGATCCGTTCGTTACGCTCGCCCGTAAGATGGACGTTTTCAAAATCGATCAGTCGCTGAGCGCGGGTTTGGGCAGCGCCCCGGCGCCGGACACCCTCACGCCGGAAGTGTCGTTCGACGCCGGCAGTGAGTTCAACCTAAGCTTCTTCGACGGCCCGGAAGAGAACAGTACCCAGGGCTTCAGCGACCCCGGTTCCGTGGGTAGCGCCAGCGCGTCGCCGCCCCCCGGCACACCCGGCATCCCCGTTAATAACCCGAGCGCGCCGCTGCCGATTGTCCAAGTGCCTACCGCCGGCATCGTCATTAAGCAAGGTTTGTTTCATTTATTTGTTTATCCGTTTTTTCTCCGTATTTTCATGCTTGCGCGCTCAAACGCGAGGTGAATCCGATTCTTCCTATCTTTCTCCGGGGTCTTGGATCTCTCGAGAGGAGTCCAACGAAACTGTACTCTACCGAAGAATCGAAAGCGATCGCGAAAGCGTCAGGCCACAGGCTTCTACGCGGAATTTAATGTGGATTATCTTTTTATAAATGATAATTTTTAAGCTTGTAAATAACAAATATAAACGTAAGCAAAATAATAAATTTAAAAATAAATGAATAATTATGTGGGCGCGGTGCGAAGCAAGGCACGTTCGTCGAGTCGAAGAGAATATTGATCGCGTCAGTTTGTCCGACAAGTCGGAGAGATTCGCCGGAAATGAATAATTCGAAGTTGTCCCATCGAGACGACATCGCTGGTCAACTCGATCGGCCAGTGAACGTTTACGAAAATCAACGTGAACGAGACGTGTCATAATTAATTAACCCTTTGTTGCGTAGTGGTTCTTCCAGAGTGCCACCTATCATCCAAGCTTGTTTTCCCAATCATTTAAATTTTTCACATATTTAGCATATTTGGTATTGTTGGACTACTAAAATGTTCCTCTAACTAATACGTCAACTTTTAGAGTCATTTCAAATAAGTACTTTATTATGAATAATATACTGAGCATTGAACAAAACTGTCGTTTTTAGAGAATAAATTCGTTTACATGAAATTTTAAGTAATAACGTATACTTAAATAAAATCATTATCGGGGGTCGCAGAATACGAATCCGGTGTGAAAAATACAAAATTCAAAATGGCGGACCTAATATGGTGAACGGAATTTTCAAAATCAGTCGAATTTGCTTAAAACTTGCCACTCGGAGGTTTTTGAAGTCGCTAAATACGAATCCGGGTGAAAAATACAAAGTTCAAAATGACGAATTTCATATGGTGAATATAGTTATGAAAATGAAAGAATTCAATTTGAAAATGGCTATTGATTGGGTTTTTCTATATCGTAAATATTCTATAATTGATCGTCATAGCTCTGGCATTTCGAATTTTCGATAACGAATTTGTAATTAGCAACCTCGAAAACCCTTAAGTAATAAATTTCAAGCGAATTCAGCTGATTTTGAAAATTTCGTCCGCCATATTGGATCCGCCATTTTGAATTTCATGTTTTTCACAGTGGATTTGTATTCAACGACTCTGAAAACTCCCGAGTGACAAGTTTCACAAAATTATATTCATTAGAAAAAAACATGCAACAAAGGGTTAATCGTATTCGCTGAGTTTTGGAATTTCGATGATACGATATGTCGGAATTCCAAACTCGCGGTCTCTCGTTACGTCTACTTCCTACTAATTAGTTTTCCACGAGATCTGAAAAGGAAACTGAACGTCCTTTAATATGCAACTCGTCGTTTTATATAGGAGTGTCTATTTATGGTTCGGCGATATGTTATACGTGCGGGTATCTATGTTTCAGCGTTATTTTATATCCCAAGCACAGACGCACGCCTACGTATAGCGCCTTTGTTACAAAGGTTAGAATACAAATTCAAAAGGTCGCGCTCATAATGCGGTATTCACAAATCGTCTGATCGTTCGCAAGCGGTCGTCGTATCGCCGCCATGCACCCATAATCCGATTGCGACCTCTATGATGTCGGATAAATCGAATAGAATCGGGACTGTATTCCGACGCATCACGCTAATGAGCATCGCGTGTAAGAATCGTACGTACGCGATAGGTATCGAGAGAATCGTGCACCATCGTGCTGGCGAAGATTGACTGGAAAATCGGTTTTTGAGGCAAATGGACCCGGTAACCGGACGTTTAAACGTAGATTCTCACAAAAAATATAATATATAATATCAAGAATAATTTTGATATAAATATTTGCATTTATTCGAAAACTTAAGACTCCCTTCAACAGAAAAAATAATTTAACCCTTTGAAGCACGCATTTTCCTATGCAATAATAAAAGAAACTGATTATGTATATCAGGGTTTCCTGGGTCACTGATTACGAATCTGGAGTTAAAATTTTAAAATTCCAAATGGCGGATTCAATATGGCGACTTCAAATGGTTAACTTTGATATGATATTATGGATATGTATTATAGCAAACTCGGTATATAAAGGATGTCCCAAAATTCACGCAAGAAATAATTTTGATAGAAAACACAGGTTTATAATTAAAAACTGTAAATTTTTTATTGATTCATAAAATATACAGTATAGGGTTATGTATGGAATAGCATATCGGGTAAACGGCCAAGAGAATTCGTTGAATGAATTATGGAACAACAACAAGTGGATGTTGATTTTTCGAACAAAATCATCTTCAGCGATGAGGCTCATTTTCATCTTGATGGCTTGGTTAATCGACAAAATTATCGCATTTGAGGTTCAGAAAATCCACGAGTGATTGTTGAGAAACAAATGCATCCACAACGTGTCACTGTTTGGTGCGGATTTTGGGCTGGAGGCATCATCGGGCATCATCGGACATCATTCTTCTTCGAAAATGCGGCTGGTCAGGCAATAACAGTTAATGGTGCTCGCTATCGCAACATAATAAACCAGTTTTTTGTGCCTAAATTGCAAGATATGGATGTGAACGACATGTGGTTTCAACAAGATGATGCCACATTCCATACAGCCCGAGAAACAATTCATTTACTGCATGAATAATTTCCTGGTCGTGTAATTTCCCGTTTTGGTGATCAGATTTGGCCGCCCAGATCATGCGATTTAACGCCGTTGGACTTTTTTCTTTGGGGTTTTTTGAAGTCTAAGGTTTATGCCAACAAGCCCACGACCACCCACGCCTTGAAGGAGGAAATTGAGCGCTATATCAACGAAATTCAGCCACATTTATGCAAAACGGTCATGGAAAATTTCAACAAAAGAGTGCATATGTGCCAGCAAAGCCGTGGAGGCCATTTACCCGATATGCTATTCCATACATAACCCTATACTGTATACTTTATGAATCAATAAAAAATTTACAATTTTTAATTATAAAACTGTGTTTTCTATCAAAATTACTTCTTGCTTGAATTTTGGGACACCCTTTATATATTTCTTCGATCATAGATGACGAATATAGAGTCGAAATTAAAAAAATTCAAAATGGCGGATTCAATATGGCGATTTCAAATGGCTAACTTTGATATGATATTATGGATTTTAATTTCAGAAATCTGATAACAAATTCGTGATCAGCGACTCAAAAAACCTCCATGTACCTATTGCTGTCGAAATTGAAGGCTTTTGAACATTTTTGTCCACATATTAAATCCGCCATTTTGAATTTCGGAAATCTGATAACAAATTCGTAATCAACGATTCAAAAAACCTCCATGTACTTATTCCTGTCGAAATCGAAGGATTTTGAACATTTTTGCCCACCATATTGGATCCGCCATTTTGAATTTCGAAATTCTGACCCCGGATTCGTAATCAACTTCAAAAACGTAAAATAAACAAGTTTCGTTACGACTGTTTATATAGATCACCTCGTTAAATGAATTTTTATTGAAAAATATAATTTTATGCAATTTGTTTATTTACAGGATGCTTAAATTTAAAAAAATTGACATTTTGCATTTTTAGCACGTATATCAATACCTAACATATCTTAGAAGTAAAAAAAATTCGAACGATAATATCGAAAACATAGCTTAAATCAGAGCTCGGCAAAGTTTACAACTTTCGGCCGATTTTCGGAAGCTACGCCTTCTATTTCCCCTTACCGCGCTGCGGATCCAGCAACTGACGATCGCGGCTCGCGACCTCAGAACCGTTGAAACCATAAGGCGCATCTATGTGGTTTAAAAAAGAAACGCGTCGGCAATAGTACCTCATGGGTGACGAGGAAACCTATTATGTTACCTTCTAATTATAAAAATATAAGAAAAGAAATATATATATACTTATACAAGTATATACTTGTACATATTTGTACAACATATTATACATATAGTTGTATCGATACATTTCTTTTTCAGCCTTTGAGGTGCGTTGAAGGAGCGCGTTGTCAATGTTAACATGTTATTCTATCTTTAACGCTCATTACATGTACAAGGATTGAATGACGCGTTAGCGCTGATGGACGTACTCCCCGAACGCATCTTTAGTAGGCACCACATAGATGCGCCTTATGATCTCAACGGTCCTGAGGTCGCGAGCCGCGACCGTCAGTTGTTGGATCCGCCGCGCGTTAAGGGGAGATAGAAGGCGTAGCTTCCGAAAATCGGCCGAAAGTTGTAAACTTTGCCGAGCTCTGGCTTAAATAATTAAAAATGAAGAAAGAAAAGGTGACATTATGAGATTCCATCGTGCTTCAAAGGATTAATGAATTTATTAACGATCGACCATTATTTTGCCAAACCATAGGTGCACACTTATTTAGTTAATTTTTATTTTAATACAATAGTATCAAATTTGGTATATTTGTTTCCAACTAATCGTCAAATATTAGAGATTTTTTACAATAATTATTACTTCATTCATTATTGTTAAAATAATTACTTCCATTCATTATTGTTAAAATAAATAGTAAAAGTTTTTTCAAAGTGGTCGGATACTGCGATTTATTCAGCCATTGGGACATTTACCTTGGTTGCTTGTGAAGCGTGCTTTACTCGCTCACGACGTTATTCGCCCGTGAGAAAAGTCAAGCACTGACATTTCACTCGAGCCGAAAGCGTGCGAGTGAAATTGTTCTCTTCCCCCCGCGTGTCCGTTCCCAGCTCTTTCTCTGTATGCTGCATGTTTGTCCGAAGATCCTGCGAGAGCGATTATTTTCGAACAACTCGCGCAGGTCCTCGGTACTTTCGCGTCCGACGCTGCCGATGAGGTGAATTGTCGTGAATCGGACTCCTCGCTTCGAGAACAATTGGCGGAAGCAGTTCGAAGTTTCCAAAGTTGCCTCGCTCTTGCGAATTTGTTCGCGCGCGGCAAGACAGAGCACGGCGAAGTTATTTA